TACTTTCACCTCATACGCCTGCGTGTCTGCATTCAATCGGTGCCCCACGATCGCTTCTACGGCCAGCAGTGTTACTTGAGAGGCAACATGGTCGAGAAGCTCCTCAGTCACATTTAGTGAGTCGTCTGCATACAGTTTTAGACGAGATGGGTGCACATTCATTGTTTTTCCACTGACCAAATGCTTCACAGTAAAATAGTAGTCAGCACTGCCAACCACGCGATACGGACCGACCCACATCACTCGTAGCTTGTTCGCATGCAACTTCTCATCGACTCGAGAACGTAGGACGTAATCACCGACCGAGAAGTTTCCAGGTTGCTCATAGTGTGGTCGTAGCCGGTACCGTTTGGCCTGGCGTTGTCGCTCCTCCTTGGCAGACTTGTGCATGTTGCAGATGTTTCTCGTAGTTTGGTAAGTCGCTCCACTGTACTTGGCGCTGGTTGGTCCAGCGTAGCTACACGCCCCTTCCCTCCCGGGAAAAATACCGTGTCCAATGCACTGGGACATGGCAATCCCGTAAATAACTCAATCGGAGCCCGGTTAGCTAGTGACGGTACCGGTGAGTGGTTTATGCTGGACTGTACCAGCGGGTGTAGGTAGGGCCAGTCGTGCAAGCTGATCTTGTACTCAAGTGCCAGTGCCTTTAGTACTTGCAAGATGTCCCGGTTTACGCGCTCCACTGAGCCGTTTTTCCAAGGTGAGTATGCTAGCACAAACCCTTGGCGACTTTTCAGTCTCCGGCCTAGATCTGCCACCACCTTGTTCTTAGAATGTGATCCCGAGTCACTAACCCACACCCTCGGCGCTCCAAAGCGGCTGTACCAGTCCAGGATGGCACTCGCTGCAACTTCAGATGTTGGGCTGTCACAGGCCACCAACTCTGTGAAGTGGGTTGTCTCGTCCTTCAGGACGAGCGTGTAGCGAGAGGTACCAAAAGAGTCGCCCAGAGTCAAAAAGTCCCAGTGTAGCGTCTCGCTCCGCTCATAAGTATAGTGGGTCTCACTAAAAGGTCGGGGGATCACCACCCCTCCCTTCACATGTAGGCAGAGTAGGCATTTCGAGCAGAAATCCTTTACAATCCTAGTGAGGCCACCAATGTAGAACAACCGGCGAATGTGGTTCTCCATCACATGTATGCCGCGGTGTCCATTTCTACCACAATGAGCGACTATCAGAAGTCTCTGAGAAAGGTCGTGAGCTCCACTTGGTATCCACATCATGTTATTCACGAGCCACAGTTCATCATCACTCAGCGTTGCACCCTTTGGCGCATCGTGCAATGCTTGCACGCTTCCGATTTCCTCGATAGTGGGCCACACAGATCCGTCCTGATCTAGTGGACGCAGCGGTGGTGTTGTTGTGCCTGTCACTGCACTGCTGCCACGCTTCCGGTTGGCACGTGTGAATCTCTTAGCTGACTGCATGCGCGCAGTAGGTAGGGGTTTGCCACCCCACCTCGAGATCAGGTCTGTCCACACGTTATGGATTCCCTCAATGTGTTCGATCGCGTATCTATACTCCAATAACTTCGTGGACCAGCGCAGCAATTTACCCCGGACGTGCTTCTTCAGTTCTTTGTTCGGAGCGAAGAGATACACGATATTTCGATGGTCACAGTAAAGCTTGAAACCTTGGGGTCGTAGGAGTAGGTACTCCAGTCTTTCGCACGCGTGTACAATTGGGTAAGACTCTTTCTCAATGACGCTCCAATTGAGTGCAGAGCCTTTGAAGTTCCCGCCCATACACACGAGCAGTTCGTGGTGCTGTTCGTGGATGAATACATCATCTTGCCACTGACCCACTTGTGTGACCACAAGTCCCCATCCATAGTCAGAAGCATCGCTCAAAAGACACAGTTATTTGGCCGGGTCTGGAAATGTGAGCATTGCCGAATTGCCGAGCAGGCCCTTCACAGCGTTGAAACATTTAACCTCAGCTTCAGTCAAATTCAGCTTAATGCCTGCGGCGATACGTTTCGTCTTTTTGGAGCCGGTAAGAGAGCTATCAAGCCGCTCCTGTAGTGGTCGTGCTACCTGAGCATAGTCTACGAGCCCTGACCTCATCCAGTTGCTCGCACAGAGGAACTGTTGTAACTCTGCAGCGGTCTTGGGCACAAGCATGTCGCGCAGAGCTTGGATTCGCTCTGGGTCGTGCCCGATCCCGAGTCGATTGATAATACGACCGCACCATCGCACTTCAGTAAGAAAGAGGGCACTCTTTTTTGGGCTGAGCAAAAGTCCATGCTTGTCTAGCTTCACCAGTACAACATCGATCGCATCCACTAATTTTTCTGCAGTGTCAGCGAAAACCAACAAATCATCAATCCATACTATAACGCTCTTGTCCACCAGATCGCCCAATACCATTTCCACTGTTGACTGAAAGTGCAGTGCTGCGTCTGTACTCCCCTGAGGTACTCGTGTAGGTGTAAAAACACCTCGGTCTGTCATGTAAGAGAGGATTTCTTGACAACTCTTGTCCAAGGGTAGCTGCCAGAATCCCTTTAAGAAGTCGAACACCGCGTAAAACATTTTTCCTTTGCAGTGCTCGAGGGCCACCTCAAGCCTTGGCATTACGCCGGCAATCGGTTCAGTCACAGAATTTGTAGGTCCATAATCCACAGTTTGTCTAAATTTGCTGGTGTGTGGCTTCGTCACAGGTAAAGCAGGGCAACACCAACGGCTCTCACGATTTTCGTATACCCAACCGAGTGACACCAGCTTCTTGTTGAACTCGGCCATAAACTCAGATTTCGCCGGGCTATACTGTCGAACGTTACACCGATATGGTGTCGCACCTGGTTTCAACCTGATCTTCAGTGCGGGTACACGCGCAGGAGGGTAATCCCCAAGCTCTAAACGCCATCCGTCATACTTACGAACCACCCCATACAGTCGACTAGTTTTGTATTCGTCAATCACACCACGGTCCATAGCGTCACGCACTAACGCATCCACAACTTTCATCACAATGTCGCCATCAGCAGGTTTACATGGTGGCATTCCCTCAGGATCGCCACACGGATCGTCATCTTCCATTCCACGAGTAGCCAGATGCTCTAATTGGTGGTCCACATCGATACCAAGCTCGACCAGCAACAGTTTACCAACGATAAATTCGTCTTCGTCGGTCTCGACAATCAAACACTTTTTTGCCTCTTGGCACCTCACAGGCCCTGCTGCAGTATTAAGCGTCAGTCGAACTTCAACTATATGTGTTGAGGTGAGCAAAGCTCCACCAACAGCCCTCGAAGTGATTGGTGCATCCAATTCGACTAGCACAACGGCCGCATCCTGCTCACGAAGCAGATCGACGTGCTTACGCGAAATGATGTTCATATCCGAGCCGCTGTCGGCGCAATACGGCAGCTCCAGTGTTCCGTTGATGACTACCGTAGGACAACACTCCTTGTTCGTCGTAGAAGGTGCATCGACGCGCTTCGAGCGCAATTTCTTGTTCTTTTCATTGTTGACACCACTCTTGTTTTTTCTTTCGGGCAAAATGGCTTCTTTCGCAGCCTCATCTAGGTCCGGGCACTGACTGAGCCAGTGGTCCTTGCCAGAGTGAAAACAGCCAGTCCGTGGCTTGCCCTGACACGCTGCTGCAGGCTTGGTCTGTGCCTGCACAGAACGTCCACGTTCGGAGGCTTTTTCAACCTTCCGATCGGAGCTGGAACGCTGGTTGCCATGACGGGACCCCGGGTCACCATCGCTCTTCTTTTCCCAGTATTGTGCGAAGTGGTCGGTTGATGCCTACGTTTGGCCAGCTACTGATACACTCGCTCTTGCTCCAGCGCTTTTTCCTTCACAAGCATGTAAAGTGCACTCTCGTCCGATTTGCTGCTCGCGTCTACGATGCGTAGGTGTGTGTCCACAGCCTCACGCAACGCAGCAGGCTCGAGATGTTTCCTGAGAATGTTACACTTCTCCTTCTTCCCCGTCTCAGTGGAGAAGATGCTTGCCATACCGTGCTGCAATATGATCTCATCGCAGCGCATGAAGTAGTTGATCACGCGAGCTTTCACATCCCGCTCACGTAGATTCATCTATAGTTCGTCATTGAAAATTGCATCAACATCGAGGATCGCGTCATTCATGACGTTTCCGACAATCTTGTCCAACTCTACGATAATCCGAGCATCAGTGACCTCCTCCACAGTCGTGCCCCACTCAAGTCTGCACAACGTGCTGAGTAATTGCCGGTTGAACGAATTTTTCACGCTTCGTAGCGCCTTCCCCTTGTTTTCACCAGTTATACTGCAGCGCGCCTCAATTGCCTCCTCATACTCCTGTCGCTCGCGCTTCCACTTCACGAGGGCGGCGTGGGACACATCTGTCACGTACGGTGGCGAGATAGACGTTGATGATACCGGAATGGTGGCCGTCGCATTCGCGCTTAAGTCGCCACTATCCGTTGTAGCTGTTGCTCCAGCAGTCGCGGCTCCTTGACCAACTTGGTTCGAACGGCCACTGCGAGTCCTCATCGTATCTGCACGATAGATTACTAAAGTTAACTTTGTGACGTGCTCACGATTTGGGAGCTGGAACTCCCGTTAAGCCAACGTTTATTGCTTGTAGTTGCTTGGTTGCTTCAATGTCAATTGAAGCGTGAGCTATCTAATCTAGTTTAGGACGCACCCGCCTGCCATGACGACAGCCCAGGGAATGCCGTCCTTGTAGTCGTTGTAGTCCGCGTTGAAGAACAACCGGCTGTACTTTATCATCCTGTCATGCCTTCTGGAGCAGCACCTGCGAACAGCACCTAGAGATCTGCTTAACTATAGCTGAGCAGTGATCTCTCCAACGAAGTTGGCTGCGGGTTGGAGGAGCTGGTGCAAGTGATCTTGCATTACATCACAGACTTAGGTGCTGCTACTGCCCGCGATGTACGTTTATCACCGAGTCCGTGACCAGAAATCCGACGTGTGCTCTGACAACTGGGGTTTTGTTGCCGTCCTGGAGCGTCACTCGCTGCATCCGCTGCGTAAGTTATTGAAAATGGCTGTGGTACTCAACTCGGTCTACATCATCGCCGACTACATGTGGTTCACGGCGTTGGGGACGGTCAGCGTCGCGGCTGGCACGTCCATTAGCAACACGGCTCCGTTCTTCGTGTATCTCTTCTCCATTTGCTTTCTGCATGACCAAGCGAGTTTGAAGAAACTTTGTGGTGTCCTCACGTCTTTTGTCGGCGTCGCATTGATCACGATCTACCAGGGAGGAGAGGTAGAAAGTACTCAGAATACGAGTGTGGTGGCGTGCGTGTTGGTGGTGATCCAGACCATGATAGTCGGAGGCTACGCGGTCGCCTATCGTGTCTTTGTGGGCGAAGAAGTCGTAGACGCGTCAACCATCCTCACACTCACGGGCATTTGTGGAGCGGTGACCCTACCGGTATGGTTGGTCGGGAGTCTTCTATTCGCAGTGTGCCCGTGGGAATCCTTGCGTGAACCTCTTGGCTTGCCTGGCACCGACTAAGGCCTCTTTTTGCTGGTTGCGGCTGCAGCATTGGCTGGTGCGTACACGTTGCTGCAGTCGCTTGCGCTGTGCTGGACGACTCCACTTATCACGAGTGTGGGGGCAATGATGACGATCCCGCTCTCTTTGGTGTGGGACGTCACGATCAATGGTCGAGTGTTCCCGTGGCAGTGTATACTCGGATCGAGCCTGTTCATGGCAGGCTTCGGAATGCTGGAGCTCAATGCGTCCAAGCAGCAGTCGAAGATTGAGCTGGGCAAGTAGCGTAAGCCACGGAACGTTTGGTTTGTGCTTTGGCGGGCAGTGGTACAGTACCTACTGTAAGCGATTTTTCAGAACTCACTTACATGCAATTTGTGCCTTCGTGCTAACTTCATCATGGAATTTATCAGAAACTTGTTACTTGGAGTACATGTGGACCGTAGAAGAAAATGGTGCTGTCAAGCTTTCATTTTGTCACTTTCGACTAGAAGAAGACTAATGTACTCAATGACTTCTTTCCTTAAAAATATATTGTGTTCACCATTCTTTGCATATTTTCAATGAATTTGTTTCGTACGCATAATGTATTTTATGGATTTGGACCTCCCTCCATAATTGATTTCTCTTTGACAATTATTTATTGTGAGTTGTAAAAAGGTATCGATTACCGTTGTTTTGATTTGAGTTCCGTTTCGATTTGAGTCCTAGGGATACAGTAGTAGCAATTTAAAAGGCAGGCGTTATTGTGACCGACTGAAAGGTACGAAGACGAGCCATTCGTGACCGACTGACCACCGACGTGACCGATTGTGCCCGACGAAGAAATTCACCCTTCTTGTATATGCTGTATAATCCGGATACGAGCACTTAGTGTTTTTAGAGTGAAGTCATCCTCAAGGCCGATGTTAACCTCAAGGACGAATCCAACCTTTCTGTGATGTTTCCGACACAATGTGTGTTAACAGCAACTATATAATTCAAGTTAAACAAAGTGTATTGCTTCACATGCACATCTGCAAGTAGCGATAACGCTGGTACTGCAGTGCCTTCTTACTCAATTCACCTGTGCTTTCTCCGCTACAGAACGTTTCGAATGCAAGCAGAACGTACACCCCACAGTTGTAGCTGTCTAGTTGGACTCCAGCATCCGCAACATAGGGAACCACTCTGTAACGTCCTGGTGTAGCCGGCATGTGTTGCACAAGTTTGTGCGCTAGTACTCTAAGGGTACCAGTGTAGCTGCTGCTCATGGAATCATAGTACTTGATAGTTGTCTCAGCTGTGTTGATCATGATACCGCACCAGTGCGTGCCGTTACAGCTCACTGGAAGCAGTATAATTCGCCCAGTAATACAACTGAACAAGTGCTTTAACTCTTCGTCTGGACGAGATGACACGCCCTGGTCTTGTTTCTTTAGCTTCCGGATTAGGTTTCGTACATCTTGAGGAGTTGGATCGCTGCTGGTGTTCTCCACGATAAATTTCAAAATGTTTTGCGTCTTTGTGCCTGACTTTCTGAGGGAGTCGACCGTCGCCAAAACATCTTCTTCTATAGCCAGTCGATTAGCGGGATAATGGCGGTACGTACGCAACCCCAATCCGTGGTTGTGAGATAATGCAGTCTTAGTGACTCAAACTGCAAAATGAAGAGGGGATGTGTTCACCACTTGAACGCAAGCGTTTATCTGTATACACACATGAGCAACGTTAGCTGTTGAATAGTATTGTTACATAAAGTACCGATCAGTAACCGACTGTGACCGACAGTGCCAGACTACAACCGACTGTGACCGGCAGTGACCGACAGTCAACGTCTCGCACCTGGGCCTTGCACTCGATCGGGCGTACTTCCTGACGTGGCCTCTTCCCTTTACCACGGTATCTGTACTTGCCGCCATGCGTGCAAATGAGCGTCTTTGCGTACGTACACCATGCCTCTGGGATGAGCGTTGAAGACGGCTTCTGGGCCTTCTGGATTAGCCTGTTCCGTTCTGCCACGCTTTTAGTTGATCGCACTCTAAAAACCTACAGTAAATTGGTCAAACCCGTTGAATACTCTCATAATGTAATACATAGTGCCATCAATGCCCTTACCTGGTAAGTCTGCTTCTGATACTCGTCCAGATACGAGTGAAAGGCTTCCCAGGACTGAAACTGCGTTTCAACTAAGTCTGCACAGACTTCTGGAGGTCCTCTTCCGCTACTACCTCCACTTGTTCTCTCGCCAGGCGTATCAGTCACGCTTGAATCCTCGACACTCCACGTCGCCGCACTGGAACTACTGGATACGGCGGAGTCGTCCACCCAGCTCGCGTCCGAGCCGTCATTCTCACTGCCCCCGCTGTAGGCTTCCTCTGAGGGCCGCTTCTTCGACGCGCGTGCAGGCTGGCGCCGATCCATTGCTGGCGCTGTTCTTCTCGAAATGGAGTGCCCCTAAATGAGTGGCACAAAAGCTCCGTATACGGGTATACAAATTTAACCGTACGAGGGACTCAAAATTTCCTTGACAATTAATTTTTTGCGTTTTCAGTCTGGCACAATAACGACTCTCATTTGAAAATGCTCTATTTATAAACAAAACAAATGCAAAAAAAATACTACTGTAGTAGTTTCCACGTCGAGTCCATTGCAGAAACAGGGCGTTTGACGTCAAATAGCCACACCTTCAACTTGCGTAGCTAAACACTAAATCTGCATTCCGCCTTTTTGTTGGCGTCGCGTACATTCAGTCTTCTTTCTCTTGGTTTCAGTATGGGGTCCGCTAGCAGCGCCGCTCTGCCCATGAGCGAGATCGACTTCGAGTCGTACAAGGGTCTGCGCTACACCACGGCTGTGCCTAACACGGGCGACGCCACGCACGGTCCCACGTACGAAGTGCCCAACACGGTGCCGGTCGACGAGGCGCAACAGACGCTGTACCACAACTTCTTACGTGGGTGGAGCCACGAGGGTGGCTCTCGTCCGTGCTACGGTCGCCGTGTGGTGGACCCGGCCACGGGGAAAGTGGGCGCCTTCCAGTGGCTCACTTACGCTGAGGTGAAGACCCGCATGGACGACCTGGCGTCGGGACTGACGCGTGCGTGTGGTCTGAAACGCCAAGAGAATGTCGGGATCTTCGCTAAGAACCAAATCGAGTGGTGCCTGGTGGCCCACGCCTGCGACCGCATGGCCTTCGTGCTGGTGCCGCTCTACGACACTCTGGGGCCCGACGCAGTGCCCTACATTGCCAACCATACCGAGATCCGAGTGTTGTTCTGTGGCATGGACCAGTTCCACGTCGTCATGGACTGCAGAGAGGCCTGTCCGAAGCTGCAAATAGTCGTGCAGTTCGAGCCAATCACGGAGGAGCAGCGTCGCTTAGCTGCAGCCAAGAACATCGAGCTTAAGAGCTTGAGTGATCTTGAACTCCTTGGACGTGCAGAGCCTTTACCAGCGGATCCTCCACTCCCGACGGATATCTCGACGCTGTGCTACACGTCAGGCACTACGGGAGACCCCAAGGGTGTGATCCTGCTGCACAGGAACTTCACCATCGTCAGTTCTCTGGCTGGAGAGAGACTGCAAGTGAACTCGACGGACGTGCACTTGTCGTACTTGCCATTACCGCATGTCTTCGAGCGAGCTGTGATCGGGTCCATCTTGCAGAACAGCGCGGCTGCTGGCTTTTATCAGGGTGACGTGCTCTTCCTGATGGAGGACCTGGCCGAGCTCGCTCCGACGTTGTTTGTGTCGGTTCCAAGGCTGTTCAACCGCGTGTACGACAAGATCACGCAGGGCGTCGCTGCAGCTGGAGGCCTCAAGAAACTCATGTTCGACCAAGCCTACGCCAGCAAGCGCGCTGGGTTGAGTGCTGGCTACAAGACGCACGCGCTATGGGACGCCTTGATCTTCGCTAAGATCCGACAGGTGCTGGGTGGCCGCGTTCGCAGCATTTTGTCCGGATCTGCTCCCTTGAGTGCGGACGTGAAGGAGTTTATGAAGATCGTCTTCTGCTGTGACGTGGTGGAGGGCTATGGACTCAGTGAGACGGCGGCTGGACTGTGTCTTGCCTCGGGTGACATGCCGTTGGGACCACACGTTGGCCCGCCACTGGTGCGTATGCAGGTGTGTCTCGAAGACGTCCCGGAGATGGGCTATACCAGCAAAGACAAGCCTCGTCCTCGCGGCGAGATCCTCGCGAAGGGTCCTGTGGTGTTTGCTGGGTACTACAAGCAGCCAGACAAGACCGCCGAGGTGATCGATGAGAATGGCTGGTTCCATACTGGAGATATCGGCTGCTGGAATGCTGACGGAACGCTGAGCATTATTGACCGCAAGAAGAACATCTTCAAGCTCTCGCAAGGCGAGTACGTTGCGGCTGAGAAGGTCGAGGGAGTGTATCTGAAGAGCAAGTACGTGGCGCAGATCTTCGTGTATGGCGATTCGCTGCAGAGCTGTCTCGTGGCAGTTGTGGTGCCTGACCCAGAGATTGCTGAGGCCTGGGGGCTCGCCAATGGCCTGTCTGGGGAACACGCTGCAGTGGCGCAACTGGTTCAAAACTCGGCCTTCCAAAAGGAAGTGCTCGAAGATATGCAGGCGGCCGGGAAGGAGGCGCAGCTGCGTGGATTCGAGCTCGTCAAGAAGATTCATTTCCACCCGGATCCGTTTTCCATGGAGGATGGTCTCATCACGCCTACTTTCAAGTTGAAACGCCCGCAGCTCAAGGCTCGCTTCGAAGCCGAGATCAAACAAATGTACGCAGAACTACAGTAACTGAAATCTTGTGTCTAGGCGCTAAGAAACTAAGACGCCCAAGTACCTAAGTGCAATGTACATGTACTGTGCTGAGGCATTTGCAACACTAACAAGTTTATCATGTTCCTGTTTTGGTGAACATGTACGTTCTTAAAAAATGTAAAAACCAACATTCACAAAGAGTACTACGACTCATCAGTTCCGTTTTTTTTTACCTTTTTTTTACCGAGGGTTTCCAAAAAATTCTATTTTTACGGAGGGAGGCAATGAGTCGGAAATACATTATGGTTATTTAGCTAACGTGGGATCTGTGTCGCTTGATGATCAATCCGTACTGTAGTTTATTGGCTACTACTTCCTCTGGTCGGAAATGATCACGCGAAACTGACAAAATGACCAATCGCTTCAGCTCTATTTATCCAATACGGCATCTGATTGGACCAAACGGAAGCCCTGCACCTCCTCTTTTTAAAGCCACCGGTTGTGCGCAGAACGGACTTCTATAGCCTCTGCAATTTCAGTTTTAGCTCTCAAGGTTTCAAGCCTCGCCTGGAGTGCGACCCACCACGCCTGCGCTACGCTGTTTCTTCCTCTATAAACATGCCGAAGTCCAACCTTATCGACAACGAGCGCAAAAGCCGTCATTGACGAGCTTCTAAAGATCAGCAACAACAGAGAACTACCCCGTGAAGCGTTTGATGTTCTTATGAGCCGACTTCCGGACACCGTGAAGTTAATTGGAGCTGTACAGCTCTGCAATGACGGCTGGTGTCGTAGGGGTGAGTGACTTAACCGGCTTAAGAAGAACAGCGGCAGAAAGCGGAAGAATCGAGACGAAGTACGTGACAAACTGAAGAGCATTCCTATCGGGGATAGAGCAGTTGAAAGACGTGTCAGTTAGTATGATAGGTTTTTTCAAATTTCTATCGAGGATTGAACAGTTGAAAGACCTATCATACTAACTTCGCGTGATCATTTCCGACCAGAGGAAGTAACTGTCACACAGGGGCTGTAGTCGTTTGAATGCGTTTTCGGTAAATACTTTTTTTCAGAGCGGTAAAGGAAAGAGTTGTGCTTCCTCTCCCTTTTATCGCATTCCAAACAAAAGCGAATTAAACCAGGGACGGCCATCTAGACCTCAAACTCGTATAATCCCTCTTGAACAACCGATCAAGTCAAGTTTCAGTGCTACGGAGTCCACGTCACTGCAGCAGAGCTTTGCGGGTGCTATTCGTCTTGTTATAGAGGAAGGAAGATCTCTAACGAACGCTTCAACCAGCTATAACGTTTCAAGAAGTGCTCTTCATCGGGTGACGGGAAAAGTCCGGATCGATGCCCGAGAAGATGAAGAAGGGATAGTCGAGGTCATTCTCTTTCGTTCAAGACGTGGAATATGCATGACCGATAACGAGCTTCGTCTTCTAGCCCACGAAATCGCAAAGCGCAAAATACAGTCGTTTCCCAACGCTAAATGGCTTTTGAAGTTTGTCAAGCGTCACAAGGATAGGTTGATCAGGAAACGGGCTCAGATCCTTGATATTAAGCGGTATCAAATGTCAACTGTTGAAAGGATTCGCTCTTTCCACAGCAACCTTCAGGTGGCAATGCAGGGGCTAACTGCTGAACAGATTTGAAATTGCGATGAGACGGGGTTATGCCCCCCAGGACGCAAGGCTCCTCGTGTTATTTGTTCTAAGGGAATGCGAGCAAATATATTAAGGTCTAGCGACCGTGACAACATGTCACTGATGGTGTGTGTGAGCGCATCCGGAGACCAGACCACATTTTTTCGGGAAAGCGAGTAGATGCTTGGCTCCTTAGATGGCTCGACGTGCTCCGTGACCGAGTCATCGAATATAAACGGGTTACTCTTTCTACTCTGGTTGCAATATTTTGACACTCAAATGTCTGCTAAAAACGTGCCGCGTTCAGTTTTTCTCATTATCGATGGGCATTTCTCCCATGTAAACGGACCAGTTTTGTACTCGAGATCACACAAAATTGACATATTTGTGCGCCCGGCTCACACTAGTCATTTTACACAGTCTCTTGATGATGTCGTATTTTCATCACTGAAGCAAAACTACGAAAAACTAAAATCGTATTTCCCGAATCTATTCGTCCGGCCGCACAATCTGGCAAGATTAGCTCGACATTGTCGAGCTTGTCGAGTCGACAAGCCTGGCGCGGCGGCATCTAAATATCGCAAAACGAGGAGCTTAAAGGGACCGCGACTTTCGACACTACAACAAAGTCGTTTAAGAATACCGGCATCTTCTCATTGTCATTATAGGTCATGCCCGCTCAGATTATTGGAAGTGAACCTGTTTTAGATGAGCTACCAAAAGTGAAGTATGTTCTTCAAGTACCGGAGTAGTCGGAAAGGCAAACCCGAAAGCTGAGAAGAGAAGGTATCTCTGCTGACTCAATTGCGTCGGCTTTTCTGGGTATCCAACAAGCTAAAAAGCTAGCTCCTCAACCCCTGCCCCCCTCCAACCGACACAAGCGGACGTATGTCGATGGTGGCGTACTCATGACACATCCAGAGATGGTTTAAGCTGTCCGTCAAGCAGAGGAGTCTTGAAAGCTCAAAGCGGTTGAGCGGGAAGATTAAAGACTAGATAGGAAGCCGAACATACAGCGTAGAGAGGCAGCTGCTGCTCAACGCAAGGCCGAGCAACTCCATAGGAAGATCGAGCGAGAAAGAGTCGCTGCGCTAAAGACGGCTGAAAGAGCAAAAAAGGCTGCTGAAAGAGCAAGAAAGGCTGCTGAGAGAGAGGTGCGCGTGAAAAAGCAACAGCGACGACAACAACTCTGTCAAGGAAAAAGAGAAAAACGAGCCATCTACCTGATGTACAAACCTCATCCGCGGTCGCATCCACAATCCTGCCGACTGCACAAGTCGTTAACTCTTCGACGCACAGGTTTACTGTCCCAATAAGATCTCAGGTGCCATGCTTTCAGTGCCCCGACAGCGGTGCAACGAGCTTGATGTTGTTAGCGGATTCTACGGAGTTGTGTGCAGTTGTGTAATTATACTTACTTTTAGTAAAAGCATAATCGTACCGAATTGAGTACACTTGTGACGGCATGTACCACCTTGACAAACAACACCAGGTTTGATAAGATGTACTAGTATTCGTACTCGGTGTAGTCCTTCATCGTTAGCATTTTGAGAAAGTGCTCTATTTCCTCTTTCTTTTTCTGTATTGCTTGCGTGAATTGGATTAGTTCTCAAGATATTGCTGATGTTCCCCCTCGGCATCTTAGACGTTTCGAATATGGCCCTTTGGGGATAGTACTTCTTTTAGTTCCTAAATATTAAGTAGCCTTCGGAATATTCTGAGCGGTAAAGCAATTCAAGGCCCCTCTTACAATAAAAAGTCACAAACCAATTGCGCCCGTGGACTTTAATATTGACTGATGTGTAAATTATGGATAGCGCTCGAGAATGCATGATATCAGGTTTGCAATAGGGAGGGGGGACATTTTCATCACCCAGCATCGCTCTAAGTTTACCTACAAGATTTAGATTGTGCTCTGGCACACGGCGATGTACAAGGATGCTGTAAGGGGTGCCACCAAGCCGCCAGGCTTGCAGAAAGGTACATATGCAGGTTGTAAAAGTGCAACAGGCATGATACATGCAATGACCAAAAATAACACCCAACCGTCATTGGCACTTTTTCATGTCTTGCAGAGTACGGAACACCCTCCGTACGTACAAAGCGTCTCCCGCTGACCCTCACGGCTGCATGTAACCAGTTGTCGGTAGCGAAGATAAATAAATGAAAAAGGCCATCCAATTATGACCGGTGTGATATTTTGGGAGACGTCTGACCGTTTTATTGGCGTCCAAGTGTAAATTTTGACCCCCCCCCCCCGAATAGGTACACTACGCAATGATTTCTGGGAAGGTGGGCTAGATTGGCTAACCACCCTTCCACATTATAAGCTTAGCGATGCCGTACGGTAGTGTACAGTACAATACGTGCAAATTTCATCAAACAGCGAACACGGCGACTTGCGCTCATCTTCGCGGTGGTCCATTGTAGCTGTCAAGGCCACGCAGTCAAGAAACAACGAAACGGCTACTAAACGATCGATTCTACATTACGAACCGCATGCCAAAGTGGCTGAGATTGTCCGGTAATGTCTGCTGTGCAAACACTTAAAAGGACCTCGAACGATTTCTCGCACCTACGGTCCTCTCTTAACAGCGACTAGGCACAATGAGATTTTGCATTGGGACTATTTGTATTTAGATGATGGATTTGATCAGTCGGCCTACCTGTTGGTAGTAAAAGACGGCCTGTCACTTTTTGTGAGCTATTCCCGTGCGACAGCACACGTGGCAGGTGAGGCACTGTCGATCTGGTATGCTTGCTATGGAAGTCCGGCGATGCTGCTCTTTGACCAAGGAACACACTTTAAAGATAAAGTGGTAACGGATTTGGCAACGGATCTCAAGTTCGAGTCGTTTTTCTCTCCTGTCTACTTTATGTGACTCAATGGAACGGTCTAAGGGCTCAATAAGGACGTTTTGCAGGGTATCCATGCTCTCCTAATGCAAAACACATCGAATCAGCATGAATGGCCATATTTGATTTCGGCGGTGTAGGCGGGCTTAAACGACACCTGGACGGGCTCACCAACCTCCTCCATTACTTGCAGAACTCCCGATTGCACCCTCAGCGCCTTCATCGTTCACCACGGTATCCGTGTCTTCCTCGTCCTCATCTTCATCTTCTACAATCTTGTCAGATTTTGCTACCTGTTCGGCGACATCCCGGTTCCCTGCCTTGTCCTTTTCCGCTTCCTTTGTAGCGGGGTTACACGGTGTGGAACACAAGGTACGGACCCGCAACGCTAACAAACGCTCAGTACATAAGTAGGAGAGCTAACAAGGCATCTCAGTACGTTAGCGGAAAGCTACATGTCATACCGTTGATTAGATTTAGCTGTGCTTGATAATTAAACAAATGCATTTTTTTCTAGGCGCTTGGTTGCAATAATAAAAAAAAAACAATTCTGATTTTGAAGCATAAAGTAATGTTATTAACGTTGAGTCTGGTCGTGGGCTGTAATGTCCTTCGGGTAATTAACTTAGTGTTAGTAACGCTTTGAGT